CAGGCAATGCAACGCTAGAAAGATTTCTCACACCAATGCCACCAAATTTTATAGGTAAAGTAGCTTGAGCCCAGGCTGTTGTATTTAAAGTTAAATTTAGAATTTTTTCTATAGCAATTTTAAGATTATTATCAATATCTTGTAAAATATCCGAACATTTCCAGACTGGACTCGAGCGGAGTAAGTATGTAAATCTAGGTACAAGAAGACAATATTTTAAAATAGTAAGAGCTATGTGGGGGTTTAATGTATACAATTTATCAACGTGGTTTAAAAACTGATCAAATTTTGTTTTTAAAACAGGTTTAATTCTATCGAAAAACAACGGGGCACCTAGCAGGTATAGTGATTCCGTATTGACAGTTTTTATTCCTGGACAAATATGATTAAAATTTTGAATTAAATTGTCTCTATGAGAAGTAGATAAATTATTGGAAAAAAATATTTCACATTTATTGCTATTTGGTTAAGGCCAATATTTTTAAAATTTCGAAAAATATGCGTAAGATCGCTGAGGACGTCATCTGCTCTACCTCCCAGTGTACCGTCGTCTAGGTACCAGACATTCAGCTTGGGTTTCAAATTTGAAATAAAGGGTTGAATTCCCAAACTGAAAAGTGCTGGACCCAGAGGGTCACCCTGCTGAACACCAACAGCAGAATTGATAACATGGTTTTCGTAAAACAAGTTAGTATTTTGACTATAACATTGCCAAACGTAATGATAAATTTCGGGGGTATTGTTAGCCACTTCTTTCAGCAAGGTTACCCTATCGATAGAGTTAAAAGCATTCCTTAGGTCAACCTTCACAAGAACATCTGCATCAGAGTTTGTTAAAAATGTACGGACTGAATGTACCGCCGCCTCACAGCCACCTCTAGTGCCAAAACCTAGTTGAGTAGGCTGAAATTTGGTCTTAAGGTTAGAGATTATGTACCTGCAAGCTAATTTTGAAGTTAAGCGTCGAAATGTGGAACCAACGGCAATAGGACGGATACCGTTATCCTTTTTTTTGAAGGCACATAATCTTGCCCCATATAAGAATGGAATGAAATTTGAATTAACATTACCAGAAAGCATAAAGTTACATAATTTTGTAATGTCTTTAAGAAGTACTCCGCCGGCGTCACCGGCAGAAGCGCTTACAAGATCTTTAAGATGTTGAGGCGTAATTCCGTCAATGCCGCCAGCAGAGCCATTCGAAAATGACATAATTGCTTCTAAAGTGTCTTTTTCCGAAATTTGTAAAGGTTGCATAGAAGTCTTGGGAGGCAGCAGTAAACCCTGAGACGGTGTGACCGAAGGATGCTTTTGACGAAGGCTTTCAAGAGTTTCGACATTACGAGGAGCCAGGATGTCGTCTGAGAATAAAATACGGGATGCATTTTTTAAGTCGCCATCCATTACTTTCGACTCAACTACTTTTTTTAAATCAAATTTAGGACGTGGTCGAGATAAATCAGTATTAATTGGGTAATCTAAATTTTGAAAAGATGTCTCTTTTAGTTGAGACATAATTGATTTATTTATTGTTTTATCAAAATGAAAATGGGTATACGCGAAAGTAAATAATTTTTGCCAACTATTTTCACTATTAGTGAAACAATTTTGAATAGTGCATGACAATGCTTTAGCAAGCTGCATCCTCGCACCTCTAGGAATTCTTTTAACCACTGGTACATTACGATAATAATTGTAAATTTGCTCCGAAAAAAGGGAAACATTTGTGTCAATAGAGGAATTGCTAAAAAAGTTATGAATTTCTACGGCAGGCTGTGAAGCCGAAATACTTTTACTATGGCATCGTTTAATATGAATATTTAATCCCCTTTTACCTTTAAACAGCCTACCGTCAGCACAATTTTGACACTGTAGGAAATCCGACTGTGAATGTAGAGGAGCAGAGATATTCATTAAAAAATCTAAACAGATCTCTACAACACTCAAAAGTCTTTATATTGCATATTCATATTAACTTGAAATGTACTGTACCCCGCATCTTTCCCTGAAACAATCATTTACGGCCTAAATAAAAGCACTTTACTCTATAAATGAAATATTATTACATTACTTCCCTGGATTTATTCCATATTTATAAACATTGCATGTATAGTCGTTACGCTTTGACAGTTGTCAACGGCGCAGCAGAAATATTTTTCTTTATTAATTAGTATTATGTCTGAAATCAAAAAAATATTATTATAACAACTCTCTTATATATTTTATGATCTTTTTTTGAAATTTGTAAGCCAGAATTGGCCTCCAAATAACAAAATAAAATAATATAAATATACGTAGCTTTTGACAGTGAAAATTTCTTTAGTTATCTATATTTTTTTTAAATGAAGTAATAAACGAACGTACAGTACATTTGATGGAAAGTGGCTAACGCAGCCCATGAACACCTAACAGCCAACTTAAAATAAAGAGGGCTACAGATTCGTTGTCAACTCTGAGGTCTAAGATGGAATGTTTCACAGCCTGTGATTATACGAGTACTGGTGCAATATACCCTTTAGATCGGAACACTGTAGAGTGAACAACTAGTACCTAGTAGGCTTTTAAATTGCCACAAGATATTATTTTAGTGCTTCCAAAATATATTTAAGGTTTGCTACAGTTAAACCGTCAAAAACAAATGATATCAAACAAACTATTGTATATACTATTGCTTTTCGAAATAAAATTTAATCGTGGTAGCTCAAGGACTATGTAGTTGCTGTAAATTTAACATTATATATAGCGAGCAAACTGGGTTCGAACCCTGCCGGCACTAATAAAATGAAGAAAAACTTCGCAATGATACCTAGATGTCTGGAGAATACAATATTTTGAGATCATTTCACGTCCTTTATCACTTATTTCCACATAACCCTCTCAAATATGTGTGGAGGTATATGCCCAGAACAGGAAATTCAGAGACTTATATAGGCTGCAACTATACATTAAACAATTATTTCAAACAGTTAAATGATGATAACCGAGAAATTGATAATAATTAAAAATATTGTAGTCAACATCGACCGGAAGGTTTCAGGTCACAAACACGCTAGAGTATTAATATAAATAGAAAGTGCATGCTATGTCAGCAAACAGCCATTTCCATTGACGTCATAGCTCATGCCTCCAAGTTGAATTTTGCAATGCGGCTGTTTCTGGAAGTATTGTTGAGAGTTAAAATTGCTATTTACATGTTACAATATTCGATTGTACTCAAACAGTAATTTAAAGGGTTACTGAGACAAACAGTAAATTCGCTTCGGGTAGTAATAATATTTTTGTTGGAACATAAAAGTGTTAGCATTTTGAAACAGTGTCACGAAAAATAAATGAAATTTCTAGAATTTATTAATATTTTTAAAGCATTTTGGGTGAGTTCACCCCTCGAAAAATATTTAAAGCATATTTTTGGATACACGATTTAGTAATAATATTATAGAAACCATTGACTGATTTCGTACCGCTAACATTACTAAATTGACGAGGAAATATAAACAACCATTTATGTATTCTCTTATACATGAACAGTTATGTGACTGATCAAATTATCTTTATATGTAAAAATTACGTGTCACATTGTTTGTCCGCGGTCAACTCTTAAACTACGAGTATTGAACTGATTTCAATGAAATTTTGCACACTGTGTGCAGTTTGGTCTAACTTGAGAGATGCGTCGTCATTTTCGTCGTCACTTTTTATCCCGATAAGTGACCTTTAATATCTTTTATTGCGAATTTAAGGAATTTTTTTATAGGAAGGAGCGTCGGAGAGGGCAGAACAAAGTCTGCCTGGCCAGCTAGTATACTATAAAAATTTTCTTTATATAACAGAACCCTATTAAGATTGTTTAACTTTTCATATATTTGTTAAATATAGATAGACATAATGGTTCCCGTTAATTGCGTTATCAGTGTCAGCATTCAAACGTAAATAAGTAACTCTTTTTCAAAAAAATTGAAAATTAAAAAATATTTTAATTTAAAAAAAAAACAATTTGCGAATTGTTTGTGGTTTTATTACCTCTGCATTATCAGAAGAATAAGATTGTGAAAGGAATAGGATTGTGAAAGATCCCTTTAACCGATGCTCACGCCAGTTAGAGGTAAAAAAACCACATACAATTTGCAAATTAATATTTTTTTAATTAAAATGAATTTTTTTAATGTTCAAGTTTTTTGAAAAAAAAAAACTTATTTCTTTACGTTTGAATACTGACTCTGATAACGCACATAAAGGGTACCACAGGGTTTTTGTTACACGTTGTATAACAACACAAAATATATAAAATCATCCCTGCCTGATCCATTTCTGTACTGAAAATGCTGTCCCTCCTCACGATTTTGGTTCGGGTCTGTGCAATGGATATAGCATTATTAGTCGGTCGTCCGAGCTTCGCTCGGTTGTTAGCAGGGTGAAAATTTAAAGAAGTTGGTATATTCCCCTTACACCGTTTGATTATACCGAGTCCAAATACCAAAGACTGGTGACGGGGGAATAAGATAATTGACGAGGGACAAAATTAAAAGTCAAATTCAAAGACAAAAATATTCAAAATTTATTATTTAAATCTCGTATGAAAATTAAAATCTAGCGCTTGTTTAAAAATTGAGACGACTACAGTCATTGTATTCTCATATTTATTTTTATCAATAGTGATAATTCTAATGGAAATTATGATAATTTAATGTAATTATATGTTGCTAATACAATTTAATTTATTTCGCTATTCACCAGTGTGTTTTATCATACGAGATGGTCGTTACTCGTAGTTGTCGATCACCATTTTGTACTATAACAATATATTTCATAAAAACGTTAAACCTTCTACAATGCGCGCGTTTCTATGTTTTAAAAAAAATACCGCCATCTGTTATACGTAAGAAACATATTTTCTCTTTTCATTCTTTTCTATATAACCTGAAGACTGAACCATAGCAACGCGGGTACAATTAGTTAGTAATAACCATATTTCTTTTTACAACGTCTAATTCTTGTTTCAGGTTATGCAATGACGTCGTCTCTAAAAGAAATCACACATTAAAACCTAGAGTGGTGTTACCAGAGAATTATGTAAAAGGTATATTATTTTAAAGTAAATTATTGCTTAGTACAGAAAACTGTAAATTTTTATGTGTTAGCTTATTATGAGTGCAACACGAATGGGACGGTTTGACCAGGGAAGGACCGCGATCGCATAGAACATCAGCCTAAAATAGGGGCATAACGCTACTGAGTTTCGTATAGTGTGTGTCAAGAACCGGAGACCATATTTACAGACAACAAGACACTTTATTTTAGTCCTCAACCCTGATAATGCATCCCCTTTTTTCATTAAGGACCTGTAATAAATTATGCTGAATATTATAAATGATCTGCTCATTGCCGGTATCTATCGGTATACAGACGACAGCACAGTTGTGGAGAAATACCAAACAAGTGCCCGGGCCAGTCGGGATCAAATCCAATCAGAAAGAGAGGCTATGGTTGAGCGTGTAAATCTCACACTACAGGCAGTCCCCGAATGGGGCGATACCAATCTCGTGAGATTTAACGCCTCCAAAACACAAGCATGTCCTTTCACCGCTAAAAGGAGCCCGCTCACCTTTTACTCCTAGTTTCCGGAATGTATCCTTGGAGTACACTGAGCGCCTTCAGTTGTCAGGGGTTGAATTTTCTCCGAACCTTAACTATGGGCGTTTCATTGAGACCAGAGCCAAAGCACCCGCAAGGAAACTTGGTGTCCTTGCAAGGGTATGGTAGTACTTCACGCTGGATGTATTTCGGTGAGTGTGCGCAGGAATTACATGCTTTAATTCCTCCCTCTCCTTTTCACCATCGAACAACCAGGCGGTCGGCGGGTCTTCACCCCTTTGTTGTCGATATTCCACGCATTAAAATCAAAAGGTTTGCTTCGTCTTTTGTAATGTGTACAGCAAAGGAGTGGAATAATTTGCCGACTTCCATCTTTCCGTCCGAATACAATCCAGGCGTCTTCAATGCAAGAGTGAATAGGCTTTTGTTACGCTAAGACAGTGCGATTTACCATCTAGGGCTGCATCACCAATTATAATAAGAAAAAAAATATTACTAAATATAATGTCATAATGCCGTATAGTGATAACGACTTAAAGTAAAAAAAGAGCTGTGGTTGCCAAACCGCTCGCCAAGCATGGCAACTATGGAAAATATCCCAACTATGGGGGAGGCCTATGTTCAGCAGTGAACTTTAATAGGCCGTAAAAGTACCAGTAACAGTAGTATAACCTAGTGTTAGAAATTTGGCTAAGCTAAAGCTAAGAAACATAAACAATATTACTCCTACGTCCATTTTATATTATGCATATAAGAGCCTATCAAAAGTCTACAGCGAAACATAGACTTTGTAATATTTTATTTTATAGAACAATTGTAACAAACGAGCACACAGTCCACCTGATGGTAAGTGGTTAGTGCAGCCCATAGACATCTACATCTATCCTAGATTACGAATCAAAATGCTGATGCGTTGTCACATTTTATACGTGGTAGAGCCATGCTGCAGCTATATTAATAGTACCTAGTCAGGTCATAAATTTTGTCACATGTTTAATATAAAATAATTGAAACAAGTTTATTCATTATGTAACCATTTATATACCAAAATGAACTTAACAAAACATAGATTCTTATGTTACTAAAGTTTATTCAAAATGACCTCCGTGATTTTGAATACAGACCTTCAATCTGCGCGGCCAGTCGTCTATCGCAGCACGAACGAGGTCCATGTCAATATCGGTGGCTGCCTTAATCAAGGATGTCTTGAGTGACTCCAAATTGGGATGAGGCTTTGAGCACGCCTTTTCCTCCAAGTGTTGCCATATCTTGTAATCTAACGGATTCAAATCTGGACTGGAGGAGGGCCAGTCTTCGTGCCGGATGAAGTCGATTTCACGCGCCGCCAGCCAGTCTTGTGTGCTCTTCGCTCTATGAGCTGGCTTCGAATCTTGTTGGAATACCCAGTGCCTGTTATTGAACATGGTATGAGAAACAGGTTCCACAAGGTTCGTCAGGACTGTATTTTGATACACAACTGCATTCGTTTTTACACCTTTCTCACAAAAATGTACCTCTGTTAAGCCCCAATAAGAAACTCCCAACCATACCATGAGCGAGGATGGAAAATGACCTCGTTGGACACGCGGAATACGGTTGCTCGCTTCTTCACTACTGTGTGCGTACACCTTATCATTTTGTTTGTTGTAGCTTCTACGGTAAAAAGTTGTTCATCCGAAAAAAGAATTTCCCGATATTTTTTGCCCGCGTACCGGTTCAACAAAGCGCGGCATCTCTTCAGTCTCAGGTCCATTAGACGAGCATTCAAACGATGTCCTGTTTTTCTTCGATATGTCCAAAGCCCTAAGTCTTCATTTAACACCCTTTTCACCGTGGTTCTGCTTAACCCCATCTGAAGGGCCAACAGTTTCTGCTTACGTTTGGGATTTCTTTGAATTCGCGCCTTCACAGTTTTTATTACTGCTGGAGTCCTAACAGACCGAGGGCGACCACTTCTTGACCTGTCATCTACACTAGAGGCTTCATTGTATCGTTTGATGGTACGATAAACGAATCTTTTGGTTATATTCAAATTTTTCAGTATGTCAAAAATTTGAATTGGCGCGTAACCTCAACGATGCAACGCAATAACTGCAACATGGTCTTCTTTAAGCGTCCACTCCATATTTAAAAATGAGTAAAATTCTAAAAAGTATACAGTTTTATTTTCATGAACAATTCGAAACTCGAATTCAATAAACTTTTTTGTGGCCAGCATTCTAGAAGAAAAGTTTTAGTTTACTGTGTGACAATACTTATGACCTGACTAGGTATAGTTGTAGCACGAATGGGTTGGCTCGACCGAGGAAGGACCACGCTCTCACAGAATACCATCGTAAAATAGCAACTTAATGCTGCTGTGTTTCGTAGGGTGAGTGTAGAGAACCGAATACTTATTTTACTGGATAGGAGGCATTCTGTCTTAGTCCTCACGGCTGACAGCGCATCTGCATTTTAATTCGCAAATGAAGATAGATGTAGATGTCTATGGGCAACAGCAACCACTTACCATTAGGTGGACTGTGTACTGTGTAATAAACAGCTTGCTTTGTCTTGTAGTTTGGAGGGCTATTACTGATATTTTGGTGTGTTTGCGTTAGAGGCAGTATGTTGTGCGCACAACTCCGAGATCATTTCATTACGATTATTCTAGAAACGATTAATAAGTCATTAAAGCAACTCAGCAGCCTGTCTCCCTATCCTCCTACAGCCAGGGAGTAAGCACAAGTCATAGTGTTTCAATCTCTTCTTGCAACTTCCTAAAATTTTAGTTAATTGATGATTATATTTTTTATTTATTTTTAAAGAAATAACGTTAGCCCCACAGTAGGATTTTTTGTTTTCTATTTAGGCAGTTTACAAACATAAAATAAAGTCCTAGTACAATTATTTGTAGACCATACGCTTCTTCCGTGCAGGAATTCGAATTCTGATCTTTCAATACTTCAGGTCATGGGAAAGTTAAGAGAAAGTTATAGTATAATAGTTACCGTAGAGCCGTGGTAACTTAGGGGATAAGCGCTCGCTGTAAATTTCACAGTACTCGAGCAACTCAGGTTCGATCCCCGCAGGCACCAATGAAATTGTTAATTGCAAATTTAAAAATAAGTGCTGATTTATCACGTTCTCGGCGGTGAAGGAAACCATTGTGAGGAAACCTGCATGTCTGAGAAATAATAAAAAAAATATTTCAAAAACACGTGACGTTTGCAGCAATGAGAATAGGCCTGTGCCCAGTAGTGGCACGTACGAAGGCTGTAACTTTATCCATCGTATAAATTATTTCGTGACAATATATAAGAATTAAATTAAAATTAAAGATTACAGCTGTAATTTTTTATTTACTTAGGTTGTATTTTATTCTATGAATAACTTTTATCCGATGATTAAAAACTCAGTCTCAGTTATAAAAGCACAGAAAAATTTTCTGTGCTTTCATAACAGCTTATACTCGTATAGCTCAAACTTTTTGTAAGTAAGCGTTTTGTTGTTTTTTTTTATTTTCAGAAATGAGACCACCGTCTCTGAAAGGCCATCCAGTAGTTGTTGAATTTAGTATATACGTGGTGGACGTCAACTCGATTAATGTCGAAGACATGGATTTCAGGTACTTCTCTAAATCTCCTAAGTTGTTAAATTAACAGGTAAACATACACATTAGTTACCTAATATCAACTATCCGTAAAGCCGTGTAGTGACGGTAAAAGAAAACCCACTGCTCTATAATACGGGAATGTCGTAAAAGGCGACAGAGGAGAACTAAAACAGAAGGCGAGCAGAAGAACTCTCCCGAAAACACCACAAAACACGGTCTTGAGCTACCTGCATCTAATGACCTGCATCTCTTATTAGGTCATCTAGGATATATATATATATATATATATATATTTCGTATGAGCAGTGAAACACCACGTCTCAGATCCATAGGTCATCACTGGCAACACGCACTAGTTGTACAATCTCGTTTTCATGTTTTGAAGTATACCATATGGACAACATCGTCGGCAAATCGAAGGTGAGTGAAGTACTCGCCATTGATGTTAAAACTGTATCCTTTCCAGCTCAGTAGTTTGAAAACGTCTTTCAATGTAGCGGTGAAGAGTTTCAAGGATATAACGTCACCCATTTTTACACCTATCTGCAGTTGAATAGGTTTTGTAGTCTGGTTCCGTACTCGAATAGCCATCGTAGCCCTACTGTACAAACACTTCAGCACTTCGATATTCTGACATTCAACTTGGTACCGCTGAAGGGACTGTAGCACCGCCCAAATTTCGATGAAATCAAAGGCTTTCACATAGTCCACATACGGAAGACATTATGGCAAATTGTACTCTTCTTTCTTCTATAAAATTTGTCGAAGGGTATGTTTGTGGTCTATGGTGCTAAAGCCTTGTTGGAAACCGGCTTGTTCGGGAGGCTGGAAGTTGTTTAGTATGCGTGCGAGACGATTCGTATTGACTCTCAAAAGCAGCACGTAGACGCGGTTCAGAAGGGAAATCGGCCTGTAGTTCTTCAAGAGAGCGTTGTCGTCTTTCTTGAAGACAAGACCACCGCATTTCTGCTCCAGGCCTCCGGTGTAGTGACAACATGTAGGACGGAATTTAAGAGCTTTTGAAAGACTTCAAGTTCCGGTTTTCTACCCGCTTTCAAAAGCTCTGCTGTAATTCCATCCTCGCCAAAACACGTGCCGTTTTCAAAGTTCTGGGGAGCCTTACTTAATGCCTTACCTAATGAAATTAATAATGAAGTATCTAGCGCAACTCTTAGCCAACTACCATTTATAACTTTCAAAAACAGGAGTCCTAGGAGTCTGTCTGCGCAGGTATCAATATCTTTGCTATTTCTGTCAACAAACGGCAGTGCGTGTACTGTGTGCCGATGTGAAGGGTATTGAGAGGTTCTATAATCATAGGCAGTGAGGCATTTTACCTCATTTCTGTGAGCTCCGCATTTGAAGTCTTCTTTAATTCATGTATGTGGCAGATGTCTATGGGGTGCAGTAGCCACTTACCAAAAAATGGACTGTTAGTTCGTCTATCACTTCAGTTTTATAAAAAAAAAGTAAGGCACAAGCGCAGTGCCTACCAGGTTATATGTAGATATTTAAATCTATTCTAAATAAATTTGCATTTAAGTTCTTATTCCTTGTCTCCTCTGAAGATTTTTTTTCAAAGGAGGTATTTGTTGAAAGGTTCTCGGATTCTCTCCACTCACCATACAAATCATAGCAAACTTATGATTTTTGGGGTTCCGTATCTCAAAAACAAAAGAAAGAAACCTTATAGGATAATCTAAATAAAACTAGTTTTACAGATTTTATCGCGTATTTTAACTTATTTTATATTCCCGACGTTTCGAGTACTTTACAGCTCCCATGGCCACGGGATGGACTAAGGTGTCTGATGTCCCAATGCACAGTTAACCACAGCTACCTCCAGATTAAAAATTATTATTTTTTTCCGATTTACGCAGTATGAACTTGCAGTGTCTTGAGGTCTTGCAGTTGTATACTTGGGTTGAGATTTAATTTTATTAATTATTGGATCCCAAGCAGATGGAACCACCCAGCCATCTTCTCTATTGAAATTAGGATGTTTTTTTGATTTCAATAGCCTCGGAATTATCATTTGAAGGTTCTTTAGCGAGGATTTGTGGTCTATGAAATCTAATTTAGTAACAGAGGCGATCCTGTACGTGTTCACAGACTGCAGACTTCCCGGAGCGTCGATTCTTAGCTATGTGTTCTTTAATGCGGGTTTTATTGATCTTTTAGTTTGTCTTATATAAGATATAACACATTCATTCGTAAAACTAGTTTTATTTAAATGTGTAGTATTCGCGTAAATATAAGAAATCATTACTTATAGGATCACTTCATTGTCTAGCTGACTATCCGTCCGTCCATCAGTCTGTCTGTCAAGACAGAAGTTTCTCAGGAACATGCGGAGTGATCAAAGTCTACGGTCTCTTGTAGCTCTAAAAGAATCAATCTTCTAAGCCAATACAATAAAACATACGGTAATTTAAGCGACATATTTGATACTCGCAAATAAGTTAAACCTAAAGGGTAATTTCCGTTGAACTAGAATTATGAAATTTGGGAAGAAGCAAGGTCTTGCAGCACAAATAAAGATAAAAATCCGAAAATCCTTAATTTGTAGTTTTATCACACAAAAATATTGTTTGTTTTTTTGCGATTATAAACTTACATTTACAGTTGAAGTATTGATCATGTCGATGTGTGGGAAAACATTTTTTCGACTATAAAGCTAAGTTTCACCTTCAATCCTACTTATTGTTTCGTCAGAGTAATGTTCGGTGCTTTTATAGTTTATGTACTTTAGTAGAATGTTAATTATTTTGATGAAAGTAGCTGTACAATTACCTAACTGCTTACACTGTCATACGTACTTATTAAGGAAATGAATATTATCGGCATTGTATACGGCATTCGCCATCCATTAAAACATAATTAATTAATACAAGTTGTAGTCATGTTGTAGGTAGTAGGTAAATAATATATATTTTAATACAGAATGAGCGGCGGCTACAAGAACTAATACGATTATAGAAAAAGTTTGTTTTAACTTCGATGTACCATGCGATACTATTAATTCCTTTTTCAGTTACCATTTACAAATCTTTAATACTTAACTAATTTTTATATGAACAAACTCATGTTTTGCTGCGATTTCACATAACGATGATAAATCAATATAACGCCGAAGACGGAGCACACGAATCCTGTAAACAACGACTCACTCTCGTCTAAAGATAATATTCTAGTTCTAGATTTCGGGGAGAAACACTAACTCAGAAAAAAAAAACTTAAAACATACTCGTAAAAAATCGAGACTCGATTCCCGGAATGAATGATGAGGCTACCTATGCCAGTAGTTGTTAGGAGCACTAAGCTCGAAGTTATTGACGACTCGTTAATGACGATTATATTTACCTGGGACAAATAGTCCAACTAAGTAAGTCCAACTTCGACCGAGAGTTCGATCGACGGATTCAACTCGGCTGGGCAGCGTTTAGGTAATTAAAACGAGATCTTACAACCAGTGCGTGTTGCCAGTGATGACCTATGGATCTGAGACGCGGTTTTTCACTGCTGGCCATATGAGCAAGCTCAAGGTCGCTCAGCGAGCTATGGAGAGGGTTATGCTCGGGGTTTCTCTGCGTAAGAAACTTAGAAATGAGGATATCCGCAGTAGAGTGACTGACATAGGATTAGTGAGCTGAAGTGGCAATGGGCCGGCTATATAGCTCGAAGAACCAATAATCGATGGGGAAAAACAGGTTCTCTAGAGGCAGCCTCGTAACGGTAGACGAAATGTTATAACTTGCAAAGAGAATATATTAAGCAGATGCTCTACCATAATAAAAAGTGCAAGCAAAGTGACTTTACGATTATTGAAAATACTACTACAGCACTATAAAAGACAATGTGGTATGATATTTTCGTCATATCAATCACGCCACAAAGCCGCGTTAGGGTTCTGTTGGTGTAGAGCGCTAGGGCTAATCTCTCTACACCAATAAAATTATTAATTTTAAATGCTGATTTACCACGTGTTTTTGGGAGAAGGAAAACATTGTGAAGAAACCCGCATGTCGGATTTATAAAAATATCTTGAGGTCATGTGAAGTTCACGAAGAACACGAAGTGAAGTAGCGCGGTGGAGAATTAACTTCATAGCACTTTTAGAAATGAGAGAATGAGAGAACACCTAGATAGCCTATTTGCAAAAGTCAGACGTATACCGAGTTATTTTGCAATAACCGTCAAAATTTGCAGAGAAGATTCAGAATAAGTAACATAGGCAAATGATGAAGAAAAACTAATTGAAAAATATGAAACATTATCTGATTTTTATCTTTTAAATTCAAAATAACGTAAGTTTAAAATTTGGCTACTCTTTGAAAAATAACCCAAATATGTGCTTTAACTTTACTGACTTCTTAATAATAGTTCGGGGAAAAGTTTCCTTGTATTTTGTTTGTATAAAGTTGAAGAAAAATCTCTTTGGTTGTACTATTTGTATCTGGCTGGTTTTAATATCAATGGACTGGCTATGACCGTGACATAATGAGCCTATTTGATTTTCGCCATTTTGGCGCTGACAGCAGAAGTGAACGTCCACGGAACTAATAATAGAGATAAGACAGTGTGAAAAAATATATCGATAAGAATTCTATACCCAGGTCTATCCGTAACATCCATTCTATTTATGTATCATATTAATATAATGCTTCTTTATGTAACATATTAATAAAATAAATAAATGTACCAATTAATACCTATGCCTTAGACGCAAGCTTTATACTTCATATAAAACAAGAATCGACACTACGATAATCTATCAACGTTATTATTCGTAACTACAGAACGGATTTTGTTCCCGGTTTCAAATGAGAAAATGCCTACGCATACCTGCATTACGGGGGCAAGAACGGATTATGTCGAACTTGCACCTACTAAAACCCCATGATGTTCCACCTTCACCACACATTGACAGGGCCACGGAAACGCTTTTGAGCACATCCGCGGCTCCATCAGCGAGGAAGGACCCCTCCTTAGTTGAGGATTTCCCTCCCCGACTTCCCGAGCCCGATATGTGGAGACTCAGAAGCGCCAAGTGGTACAGTCCCGACAAAGTCGCGGAGGATAGTCGATTGGCGCATTACCATACCAGCCATCCTTTTCCCTAGCGACAGCACCTCGGCTGCAGCGATATAGAGAGAGGACTCTCCTCTAGCCGCAGCTCACTAACACACATTCAAGGGGTCTCACAGTAGCCAGCCCACTCAGAGTAGCCACCTTGGGCCAGCCATGTGAGTCGCCCTACGTTTACCATGGGTTACCAAGCCACGGCTATTAACCCCCCAGTCCCCTACCCCCGCCACGACAAGGCGGGAATCCGTTCAGGGAGGAGTTATTTCTCACCGAAACTCACGCAAACTTACAGAGGACATTAATAATTTTGCAGTTCCAATATAAATTTATTCCCTAACTATAAATTATAATTATGTAACTATTAAATTAACCGATAAAATCCGGTCAAACAGTCGTGTGTGAAGTGTTTAGAACAAAGATAATAATTTTGTTTCGGACGCTAATTCACTATATTTGTGATTTTTAGCCATGATTTTTGTCTAGGTTCTAGTTCTAAGTAGGTTGGTTGTGAACATATATGGGTAGAAAAGAACATCGATAAGTATTATAGACAAGGAACTCAACAACCCTACTGAATTTTATTCTTTATCAAAACTCAGTGATATAAAGACAAACATGTTGGTAATTACGATATTAAGATGAGTAACAAATTTTTAAGTACCTATATTAATAAATAGTTTTAATTTGCTTAATATTAGCTGCAAATTCACTTACTTTTGGAATGTTATACCACTTTCCTTTTGGTAATAAGTTTTACATATTAAGCACACTCTCATTATTACAAAAAGATATTCTTATTATGTAACTAAAATCAAACATATTCAAACCACATATAATACTTTAATTTTTAGTTTAAAAATTCGAAATACAGAGATATCATTTAAATAATAAAACAGACTTTAGCATATTATGTCAATTTTAGTTCCCAGTACGGAAATTGATGGCGCTTCAAATCGGCATAAGCATTTTGTATGGCATAGCCAGTCCAGCGTACTTGTATACATAGAGGTCAGTGAGTTTAATATAGGACATTAAGCAAAAAAAAAATTTAAATAAAAAATATTTCCCCACCATTTTCTCTATTGAAACGAAATGAAACCCAACCCTTTCTGAAAAAATTGATCACTGGTAATGAAAAGCGGATCACCTACGATAAGAATGTGCGAAAAAGATCATTGTACAAAGAGTAGTCAAACTCCATAGATTGTAGCGAAACCTTGATTAACACGCAATTATGTGATCCTGTGTGTATGGTGGAATTGGAAGGGCATCAATTGTTATGAGCTTTTACCGCCAGGCAAAACCATCGATTCGGATCTCTACTGCCAACAAGTAATGAGACTCAAGCAAGAAATTGAGAAAAAACGGCCGGAATTGTTTAACAGAAAAGGAGTAGTCTTTCATTGTGATAACGCCAGACTACATACATCTTTGACCATTCAACAAAAATTAAAAGAGTTTGGTTGGTTGGTTTGGTTTTGGTTGGAAGTGTTAATGCATCTATCATTTAGTCCTGACCTTGCACCCTCAGATTTTCCTCTGTTTCGGTCTCTTCAGAATTCTTTGGGTATTGTTAGGTCAACATCAAGAGATGACTGGCAAAACTACATGTCGCATTTTTTAAAAATCAAAACTTCCAAGGCTTCTTCTACAGCAACAGGATTATGTCACTACTTATAAGATAGCAACGAGTTATCTAATAATATGGCACATATATATATTCTAATTAAATGTAATTAAACTTTGAAAAAAAGTCTTGTAATACGAAAAAACTTTTTCAACGTCTATCTCTTTCAGAGTTGATATGTTCATCAGACAGACATGGAGCGAAAGTAGACTGCAACTCCCTGATGACATATTCGAAGAGGGCGACGATCACGTCACTCTACCTCCTGAATTTTTCGACAACCTGTGGCACCCGGATCCGTACTTCTTGAACTCCAAAGTCACAGGTAAAACTACCGATGATAATTCTTATACCTAGTCTTGTCTACTTGTCACCGCAATGCTATATCCAAAATGAGAATAATTATCTCATCAGAATTCCATCTCTGAATCAGCAAACGTGTTCGTCTATTCAATTTAATTCAAATACAATAATGAGGTTCAAAATTAGAATTTTTAGCATACGTAGTTACGCCTTGGTGGGTAAAATATGTTAAAAAAATTTCTGTATTGATAAATTTGACGAGCTTGATTATTTTTTTAACTTAGTGATGTAAGTGGATGCTGCTTGCGATCTCTTGTGTATGTTAAAGTGTTAGAACTGACGAGGCATTCCATCTTCATCCGCAAGGGTAACAACGCATTTATGATCCGTAGTATTCACTTACTATGATCCATATGTACGAGTATCAGGTGGGCTGCGTGTTCGTTCGTCACCGTTATCCTATTAATAAATATTTAGTATGGCACTGAACATAAAGTGAAACATGTGCCTAACCGATTTTTCAATAAATCATATTCTATTCGCTTTAAATCATCATAAAGTAAACTTTAGGTTTTTAACATTTATTACAATTTAAAAATATATAATTCTCAGAGTTCAAAATCGAATTTCACTAAGAACAAATTTAATTTTACTGAATTAAAAAAACTCACTACGAATTCTTGCCTATGAATTTCGATGCTTATGAATAGATTAATTTTTAAATATTTTGCAATGGAATCATAAAATCATATTTCACTCGTAACAGTATTCTTGTAAACCAGTAATATTTGTAAGCACTAATTTATACTCTAAAAATTATTTACTTTCGTGGAAGCTCAAAAACTTATATAATGCAGTTTATATATTTCTGAATTTTTTTAGTTATTTAACGCTTATATTCACTTATTTAACAAATAACTGTATTTTTTTAAAATAATAAAATTTTGAACATCGTATTTTCTTAAAAACTATGTAAATATGATATAGATATTATTTTAAGGCTTAGTATATTATTATCATGTCTCGTTTTGGTATTTTTTAACTTCCCGCTTTGCACACACACACACACACACACACACACACGGCCGGACGTCCAGCCGGGAATAGCCGGAAAGGCTTCCTGAGACCTCAAATGTGGAGATCTAATGAAAACTCGCATTCTCAAAAACAGACCGAAATCTATAACTTCCTACTTTTTTATTTAGTTTTTCTAAGAAACACTGAAGGCAAGCACTTTATTGAAAATCTTTTGAATACGGAAAAGAACTATTTTTAGATCCCAAAATTTTCTTCCTAAAATCAATCCAGGGAAACATGACGACCGGAAAATATTAAATAAAAAATTACACGTCATAAAATTTTAACATGAATCCTAATAGATTAATATTGATAATATCTACTTTTAACGCTAACTCAATAATTTAGTAGGAGTTATAAAATAAATAGTAGAGCATTAATTATTATTGATGTAATTCCCTTTGACAATCATTATTCATTTTATCATTGATAATAAAATGATTGTGAGCTGTAGAATCTATATTAATTCTACGAGTTTATTTGTATTTGTAGGCCTCGTATTGGTCCTATATATCTGATTACAATGAATCGCGAAACATTCGGCGAGTTTTCACCTAAGGCTTCTGACTAAAATATAAATGTACTTTTGTATGTTCGTTCTCTGTACGTTACTTCCTATAACCATTAATCTGATTACGAGTATCACTATGCATGTCTGGCACAACCTTTTTAAATATAATATAAATATACAAATATATTGAGACTTCACTTCGGTCAACGAGCTTACAAACAAAACAGTAACATGCAGTACGGCGTTCATAACATCCATGCAAATCAGTCTCATTATGGACGTTTCTATTTAAAATAAGTAGTTACGGGCCATCATCATTATCATTCATCATTACAGCCCTTCACAAGTCCACTGCTGAACATAGGCCTCCCCCAAAGAATGCCACAAAGCACGGTCCTGAGCCACCTGCATCCATCGACTTCCTGCATGTCTTACCAGGTCGTCACTCCATCTCGTGGGGGGACGCCCTACACTTCGCCTACCGGTACGAGACTGCCACTCGAGAACCTTTCTTCCCCATCGGTTGTCGGTTCTTCGAGCTATATGGCCGGCCCATTGCCACTTCAGCTTACTAATCCGTTGGGCTATGTCGGTTACTCTGGTTCTACTGCGGATATCCTCATTCCTAAGTTTATCACGCAGAGAAACTCCGAGCATAGCCCTCTCCATAGCTCGCTGAGCGACCTTGAGCTTCCTCATACGGCCAGCAGTGAAGGACCACGTCTCAGTTCCATAAGTCATCACTGGCAACACGCACTGGTTGTACAATTTCGTTTTCAGGTTTTGAGGTATGTCTGACGAGAAGATGTGTCGTAGCTTCCCGAACGCTGCCCAGCCGAGTTGAATCCGTCGATTGACCTCTCGGTCGAAGTTGGACTTACCTAGTCGGACTATTTGTCCCAGGTAAACATACTCGTCAACAACTTCGAGCTTAGTACTCCCAACAACTACCGGCATAGGTGTGACATGGACATTGAACATGATATTTGTTTTGTCCATGTTCATCTTAAGACCTATCCGTTGGGAAACACTATCGAGGTCATTGAGCATAGTGCTTAAGTCCTCCAGCGATTCTGCCATAAGGACTATATCGTCGGCAAATCGAAGGTGAGTGATGTACTCGCCATTGATGTTGATACCGTATCCTTTCCAGTCCAGAAGCTTGAAAACGTCTTCCAATGCAGCGGTGAAGAGTTTCGGGGATATGACGTCACCCTGTCTTACACCTCTCTGCAATTGGATAGGTTTCGTACTCTGGTTCTGTACTCGGATAGCCATCGTAGCCCTAGTGTACAAGCACTTCAACACTTCGATATACCGACAGTCAACTTGGCACCGCTGAAGGGACTGCAGCACCGCCCAAATTTCGACGGAATCAAAGGCTTTCTCATAGTCCACATACGCCAGACATAGTGGCAAATTGTACTCTTCGGACTTCTGTACAATTTGCCGAAGGGTATGTATGTGGTCTATGGTGCTAAAGCCCTTTCGGAAACCGGCTTGTTCGGGAGGCTGGAAGTCGTCAAGTCTGCGCGCGAGACGATTCGTAATGACTCTCGAAAACAGCACGTAGACGCGGCTCAGAAGAAAATCGGTCTGTAATTCTTCAAGAGAGCGTTGTCACCTTTCTTGAAGAACAAGACCACCGCACTTCTGCTCCACGCCTCCGGTGTAATGCCACCATGGAGGACGGAATTAAAGAGCTTCTGAAGGACTTCAAGTACCGGTCTTCCACCCGCTTTCAGAAGCTCCGCTGTAATTCCATCCTCGCCTGGGGCCTTACCGTTTTTAAGGTGCTGGAGAGCCATTCTAATCTCGCTCAGACTGACGTCCGGGATATCTTCGGAATAGTGTCGGATGAGACTCGCTCTTGGATCGTTACTCACATTTGCGTGTGGCTCCAACGATGACGTGTACAGCTGCCCATAGAACCTCTCAATCTCACGCAAAATCTCAGGTGTCCCGGAAACGATGCTGCCACATTCTGTCTTCAGCTTTTACAGGTGGCTCTTTCTGGCAGACAGATCTCTGGCAAAGACTTTGGAGCCTTGGTTCCGCTCGATCGCTTCTTCAATACGAGCTGTATTGAAGTTGCGTAAGTCCCGCCGCATGCATTTGGAGATCTGTCTGTTCAGATGCCTGTATGCTGTCAAGTCTGTTGAAGAATGTAGCTTCATCTCCCGTCTAACAGCCATGAGATTAAGAGTGTGATCGGAGAGTTTTTGTGTTCTTCTGCGGCGGGTCTTGCAGAACTTAGCTCCGACCGCATGGACAGTTTTCACGAGCTTGTCATTCATATCGTCCACTTCATTGCAGTCTTCTAGGCACTGAAAACGGTTTTGTAACTCGAGCTGAAAGGTTTCGGTACTTTGGAACAGAGCACGAGGGGGACGGAGCGTTGACTTCATTAGACGAGACCTCTGCAACTTAACGTTTAGGTTCAGTGTGCCTCTAACCATTCGGTGATCGCTACCAGTTTTCACCCTCGCGATCACGGAGACATCACTGAACAGTTGTCGTCTGGTCGTCATAATGAAGTCAATCTCATTTTTTGTCGAACCGTCGGGGCTCGACCAGGTCCACTTCCTGTGGGGCCGCTTCTGGAAGAAAGAGTTCATAATAAAGAGTCCCTCTTTCTCCATGAAGTCGGCCAGCTGCTGGCCCCTTGGGTTCCGTTGCCCTATTCCAAATTTCCCTACTTTCAGCTCACCGTTCTCTCTTGTGCCTAGTTTTGCATTGAAGTCTCCCATTAACACCGTATATTGGGTTTTGGAGGAATGCATGGCTCTAGAGATATCCTCATACATTTCCTCCACCTCCTCATCGGGGTGTGCCGAGGTTGGTGCGTAAACCTGTATGACCTTCAGCGAATACCGTTTGGTGATTCTGAGTATAAGGTACGCAACCCTCGTCGACACACTCCCGATCTTTACAACGTTGTTAACGAGAGACTTGTGGACGATAAATCCGACACCTCCTTGGGACAGATGGTCGCCCTCCCGGTGATAGAGCAAGTTGCCGGATTCGAGGATTACCGTGTCCTCCCCCTCTCTTCGGACTTCGGATAATCCTATAATATGCCAGCGCAAGTTGTCTATCTCTTCTCTCCACTCCACGATCTTCTCGTCAGTCCTCAGGGTGCGTGCGTTGTACGTTGCCAGGTCGAGTCGTCTAAGGTGGCAACCGAACCTCCACCGGAGATTCTTAGCACCCCCTGCCCCGCCGTTACCATGGTCGTCACCGTAGCCAGGAATAGCGGGGCCGCCGGGGACTGGGGGCCGTCTCTTTGTTACATTCATAGGGGGGTATTTGCCATAGTTGCCACGCTTGGCGAGCGGGTTGGCAACCGCAGTTTTTTTATTGTAAGTTTGGCTATTATCAGGAAGATGCTGCTGCCCATCTCCTGCCTGTTTCCCTTTGTCGCCTTTTACGAC